ATAGTGATACTGTATGTTTTAAGCTTGAAAAACTGAAGGATAACTCAACAAGAATCATACAAAATGCTATAAATTCTGCATAGAATGTTTCCTATTATACTATACTGCATGGTTTCATTTTAACAGCAAGGTAGTTAGTCATGGTTAGCCCTTTGTGTATTAACACAAACCAGCAGTGATTGTTTTTTTTTCTTCCAGTTTCTTTTAAAATAAAATCCCCTAATAATAGAGCTCATATGAAATGCTGCATATTTATACTTGAACTTTTAAATTCCCAAGATGTAATCAATAAATAGAATACTTCCTACTCAGACATATTTTATATATATTGTTTAAAAAACTGGTTTAAAATGCAAATTAAATTACTCCTAAAGAATGTTCAGTTATTGAAGCACAGTTGTCATTTATATATGACAATAAATAAAGGTACAGCACCTAGCATGTGCATATTTAAGAGAAATAAATTCACGCTTTTCACTAGATGCAAAAATGGCTCTGTATGAATTTTATATACCATGGAAGAAATGTATGATTATAAGCCTCCCACCAGGAATTCAGTACTGAGTTCCCTTAACTTTTGCAAAAGTAGTACAGCTGTTTTATTCCACTGTATACAAGACTCAGTCAGTACTGTATTACTAAACTTGTCAAAGCATGCTGTCTAAACAAAATCAATTTAATTCATTTCAAAGTCAAACCACCTGCAACCATGGCCAGTGCAATGAAAAACTACAAACTAGAACAACAAGATCCAATTCTTCACTGCTTTGGGGGAAGGGGCATTTTTGACTCTGTACAAGTGCATTTGAATAACTATTTTAAAAATCAGCCAAAAATAAAATTAAACCCACAGCTAATATATTTGTTACAAGCCATACAAGTTTCAAGAAAAGAGTAAAGCTGTAATCAAAGAGATTTCACTCCTATTAATGAGAACTGACCCTCCTACGACCAATGTCTCAATCTTCTGTATTTTTGATTAATTAATATGCTGAAAGCACTTAACTCAAGGAATGTTCTTATGTAAACCCACAAATCAAAATGAATTATATTGATGATTTACTGGATACAAAGAAACTAAAATTTCCTTTTTAGATTTGTTTTTCTTTGCACACAGCTTTTTTGGACACTATGCAATTTTAACATGTGTATAACAGATAGCAGCAATGCAGTCTGCTCCTACTAAGAATGCTGTCTAGTTGAGCAGCACATAAAAACAGTTAAAGTTTCCAGACAAAATGTGATGTTTCATCTTAGCCCAAATAAAAACCTCCCAACATGTTGCTGCTATAAATACTCCTTAAGAAAAACAAGATGTAGCTTACAATTTCACATTCAAAAAAAACTTTGCCAAAAGTTGAACAGTTTGAAGTTGACAACTGAGCCTCTCAATCATGTTTCTCACTGAAGTGTCAGGGACTGCTTTTGGTTCTAACAAAAGCAAGTTTCTGATCAAGTCAGTATCAAAAGGACTGCAGGCATGGTGGCTACACAGGATCCAATTATCTGCTTCTTTAGGATTGAGTTATGGAAATGAAGTATAATCCTCCACAGTAAACAGAAACAAATTCCAGCTTACACAAGGTTATTCTATTTCTCACATGCTTCTGGAGTAACACTGTTAGTGCTAAAGTAATCTCTAGATCTAAGAAATAACTTCACTAATTTTCCATATGATGCATGAAGAACTAAGAATGATTGTTAAGATAAACTAAAGTAGGAAAAACATATTTTGACATCAAAAGTACCATGACAGACTATTCACAGGGACACAAAAAGCAATGGCTTGCATAGGTCAACTTATTGTGGGAAATAAATACAAGAGGATATACATACAGAGTAATTAACTCATTTCAGTTTCTGTCAAGAACACAAAAGCTACACATGGGTTAAGAAACAGTAAAGCAGGGTCAACTCCCTTCCATACATTCTGCCTGATTATGTATAGGAAGGAGGAAGTAACAGCAACTCCTGACAAACTCCAGTGTTATTTTGCATATGCACTTTGCACTGCGGCAGAATTCCATGTAGAGTATGTGCTGAAAAACAAACAGATAACTTTTCTTCTGCTTGCCCAGTGGGTTAGCCTTTTAGGGAGCAGATGTTTTGGCATCACAAAAACACCTCTCAGCTCCTTCCTTTCAATGTCCTAGGATTTAAAGGGGGGAAAAAAAACACTTCCCACTCCATTTAGTTCTCCATGGGTACTTATGGGCACATCTGAATGGCCATTACACAATACAGAGAATTATCACTGCTGGCACCCTTTGCATTTCCTTTCCTTTTGATCTTCCTTATGATTAACCACAACCATGGGTGTATACCTACTAGTCTTTCAGGATAAAACTCCATGCATTAAATGAAGTGCAGTATAACCTAGAAAAATTACTCTACAATATACCTGCTCATCTTTAAGATGTCACAAGAGCTTCTGCTGATTTTGTTGCAGTAAAAATCTCTGGAAGCAGCGATGCTTCAGGAAGCCTGTGGGGCTTTATAAACAGCCCCACAGACAAAAGCCCCCTTTCCCTTGATTATGATCCAAAAGAGAGATGCACACCTGCATCTTGCCAGCTGTTTCTCAAAAGAGCAAGGGAACCCCAAAGATGGAGAGTGGCGATGATAAATCTATCTTCAAGGTGCCTTGGCGCTCTTTAATCCTCCTATCACCCTCCCCAAAAACCCCAGACTAATGTCACCAGCCTTTCTGGAAACGGTGATGAAAGACAGCAGGTCAGCCTGTGAAAGCTGATGCCTCCACCAGCCCGCAAGTCCGCTACACTCTGCGTTTGCACGTGCACGCCGTGTGCTGATTTCACCCAGCCGTCTCCAGCAAGTCCTTTAAGGTGGGGGTTTGCAAGCGCGCGCGCGCACACGCCCCCCTCCCCACGAGGCAGGTAACCCCACCGCGGCGAAGCCACCAGCCATCGCACGAGCCGTCCGGCCCGAAGAATCAAAACAAAGTCCCGCAACCCACGGGGTCCCCGACAGCACACCCCCCCCCCGCGCTCCCAAGGCTTCGCCCTCCTGACCTGACCTACACCCGGGTTCCAGCAAGCACATGCACACGTTCGCGCGACCCGAGCG